TTTATGTATATATTCATGTCTATGTTGATCTAGGCTTCTTCTTGAGAGCAATATAATCTTTAACCTTGATCTCTTGAGGCTGGCATTTAAAGAAAATGAATCATAGAAGGCAAAAGAACAAAGATGCTGGAAATGTCAGGGGATGGAAGTTTGTCTGTCGTGGCTCAGTTTCAAGGAGAAAAGCTTTGATGATCAGTTTCAATAAGTTTTGCTTGGAAGTGAGCTCTTCTGACCGTGTTCACTACGGCAGATTTGGCAGCTACTCGAGGCCTTAGCACAGTGATAACTCAAGCTATACACGTGGATGAGGAGTGGCTACCTGGTCTATGCTTATATCTTAGGGTTGCAAAACTCCACTCCTTAGGCCCTGTATTGATATATTGATAAACGTACATTAACTATTCATATATTTATTTTTAAATATATTTTTTGTGTTCATTTTTATTGTTTTTTATTATTTATTTATTTTAAATTTATTTATTTATTAAGGATTTCTGCCTCCTCCCCGCCACCGCCTCCCATTTCCCTCCCCCTCCCCCGATAAAGTCCCCCTCCCTCATCTGCTCGAAGAGCTATCAGGGTTCCCTGACCTGTGGGAAGTCCAAGGACCACCCACCTCTATCCAGGTCTAGTAAGGTGAGCATCCAAACTGCCTAGGCTCCCCCAAAGCCAGTACGTGCAGTAGGATCAAAAACCCACTGCGATTGTTCTTGAGTTCTCAGTATTAAATTAATAGAAAGACTTAATTCCAAGGGGGGGGGCTGAAATAGGCATTTTTAAAAGAATGCCAAGTGCATCAACAATTCTCCCATGAAATGATTCCAATTCAGGACGTTACAATTTATCTAAAAGATCTTGACACAGACTGAAAAGATTTTTCTCTTAGCAAATTCAGAGAATAAAATATACTATACGCAGGGTTTTTTTTTTATGGCAATAAGAGAAATGGAATGAATTTTATGTCTCTAAAGAAAGAAATTAATTATTAATAAATAAATCTTGGCATTTACTCATACGTAAACAGGATATGATTATGAAAAAGACTAGAAAATTGCCTTTTTAAAGATGAATACTAACTTCTTATGATAATACTGAAAAGTCTAGAAGAGGCAATGCTGGATAGAAATCATAGCCATCCTTTATAGTGGGGCATTGGTCAAGTCAGTGTTGACATATGTCCCATGTAACTCTCCTCTATACTCTAAATTATGCTAAAGATAATTAATACAGCCATATAAAATGTCTGTATGTCTCTCATTCTGACACCATGACTTTTTCTCTGACTATTTCAACCTGTGGGTAGTTGAATTCACAGGCACAGAACTGGTGGGTGTGGAGCATCGCGTAGGCCGTGGTGTATGAGAAAGCCTTGCCCCTTTCGGCATCGTGACTTCTCATTCTCAACAGCAGAAGACCTCAGCTACCAAACAGCACAGTAATCAGGTTGACTACATGGCAGGAAATTGGGATTAGAGCAGATAATACACATACAATCCCTTGCATACGTCCTGAACTGCATTACATAGCTCAATTATTTCTCTTATTATAATTACCGTGTAAAAATTATTTCATGTTTCCAAATTTTCTATCAATCATTATCCAATATCCATGAAGGTAAATGAGGCATTTTGAAACAAGGAAAGTGTGGTAACTTCAGTGCAAAAGGCCACACACAGATACGACCAAGACTGCAAAACTTGCAAAACGTAACAAAAAATCAACAATACAAATACTAATAAAAGCCCCCAATACTCAAATTATAACTGGACCTAGAATACATGTTATCAGATACGCAGGTTACCTTCAAAGGACTACATAGGTTTGAATTCACTATGAAGATTTCCAGAAACATGGCGGTTACACCAAGGATGTGACAGAGAGTGGATTGCAACGGGAGAAGCCCCAGGCTCTGGCTTTGCCTGGAATGCTCATTACCTAGTTTGACATTTGCTCAATTCTGCTGCCCATGGCCACAAAGCCTGACTTGGAGCAGAGCCAACTTGTGCCCCTTATCATGATAAGGCTATTGTTATATAAACATGATACATGGTCATGGGATGTTTTAAAGGTTGAACCAATCAATGAGGACCAGTCAAATCTCCTTTTGAAAATACTCTCTTGGCGTCCACAAAGACCACCGAGCTTGACTCTGCTGTGGATGTTCTTGCCAGTGTGCCCTGAATCCTCTTCCACTGACTCATGGGACGGCTTTTCCTACCCAGCCCTCTCATGGCTTGAATAGGTTTAATTATATCTCACATATATTTAAATTTAATTTCTGCCTTCCAGAACATTAAGCATGTAAGCCAATGCCCGGAATTCCCTCCTCTGCTTGCCTTAGTCTCAGGCGTCTGATGCCCTGTCTCCTTTCCATTCTTAGATCTTAACTTATTATCTCGGAGACCTTGAGAAAATGATTAAACCTCATTAGGACTCTTAGACAACAATAACATACTGTAATACCCTGACAGAGGTGGCTCATACTACATGCCAGCTGCTGATCATACAGTCGGTGCCTAATAAGTGCCCCATCGCTAGCACAGCAGCAACAGAATCATTGGAAACCAACATGCTTTTTGAAGGACAGCATAGGCTCTAGAGTCAAGCTTCCTGAGTGGACTCAAGGCCCGGCTTTTCTCCACTGATAAATCACAACAACGAGTGTTAATATCCACCTCAACGAGGAATAAGAATTAAAGGTGTGATTGCAAAGTACCACATGGTAAACGATGTTGCCAATTATTAGTGCTCTGCCTTCTAGGCTAATTGGTTAGTTATTTGCTGTCGTTTAACTCATTTCAGTCAAAACAAATAAGGGCTTTGAATGTGAAAACCTGGGGCTATATACATAGTGATGCCATGCACACACACACACACACACACACGCACACACACATGAGTGTGCGTGTGTATGTGTGTGTGTATGGCATGTGTATATGTAATACATGCAATATATCTACCTGTGTTTACATATGATTGATGATGCATGAAAAAGATCCTAGATGTAGCGCTATTTGTAATAGAAAAAGAAGTACTATAATGATGTCATGAGGTTACTAGAATAAGTGGAGAAGTTTTGGGATGAAGTGTTCCCTATGACTCATTTTAAGCAAAGAAAGGCATAGAACCATATATGTTGGAAATCACTCTTCTATATGATAAGAATATTATATTTAATTTATATGCTGGGAGATTATCTGTAAATATTATGCCAGGAATTTCTCGTGATGGGATGCCTTAATCGGAAAAGGTCTTGGAATAAAAAGAATTTCTTTTCACAGTATATAGTTTTCAGCTGTACAAATTTCAGATATATACTTGCATGCACATATCTTGTGATAATATATTATAGTCGCATACACACATACTTGCAGTGTTTTTATAAAAATCAACACATATAAGGACTTTGTAAAGAAAGGGTTTGGGAGGAGAGGTTGCAAGGGTGGAGGGTGGATTTTGAGGGACAGCGAGATGAACTGGTTAGGATATATAAAGTGAAATTCACAAAGAACCGATAAAAAGTTAATAAAAGAAAGTTTGTTGTTCTTGATTGAATGGGTAGTTGATTTCAGTTTTTGTACAAATAATTCTATAAGTTACCACTGTCCCACAGCTAGGAATGGTCGTTACAGCTTTTGTGTGCCTGGGTGATGAGCAGGGAGACCACAGAGCCTTTTCTGTCCCTCTGTGCCACAAGACCTTGCTATGTCCCCTGCTGCCAATCCTCATCTCCACACAGCTTCCAATTGGTAGCAGGAGATGATTTTCTTCATCTACCAAACGTCAGAATGCTGACCTGCCTGCAGCCTCTCCTCCGTCCTGCAGCGTCTTCTCTACCCAAGAACAAGATCTCATTCAGAGGGAGGGATTCGAACTAAATTCCATATTTTATCCAAGTCTAGATTCATATCAAGTAAGGCGCTCGCTTCTCATGCACGGAAATACAAATGTTTGTTATCAGAGAGAGAGAGAGAGAGAGAGAGAGAGAGAGAGAGACATCCAGACCTCTAGATGACAGAGGAACATGGAGTTTAGGCCTTCTGCTGTGGCAAATGAAGCCACTTAGCACAGGTTCCCTGAATGTAATAAAGTGTGAACTGTTAGCATATAGTTGGACATGAGTTTAAAAGCCAAGGCATTCCTTGGCATCCCAAGTATACAAATCCGACAATGTAATGCTCATTACAAACAGCATCTCAAGGACCCCTGGTGTTAGCTAAGAGTCTTATCAAGTGTCACATTTCCCCACATATGAAAAGAATGTGTTTCTTAATTTTTAAAGGTGCAACTATCAATGTTAACCTGTCTATCAATGTTAACCTGTCTTGGGACTAGCTGGTGCTAGCCATTAGAATACCTAAATTAGAAAGGGGCAATGGTCTTGGGTAGCCCATGGCTTCAGTTACCTCATTGTAAAACACGCACAGGACTTAAAGGAGAAAGGCCATTGCTAATTGCATTAGTTCAGAGGCTAGATGATATGGCCAACACCTGAAGATACTCACTAACTGAAGGGTGGTCTCATCAACAGCATGAGCACACTCCTTCCAATGCATTCTGAACAGTAGTGGGTAGAGAGCGCCAGCTATTGAGTTTAAAGAGTGCTGTTGCTTTTAGCTTTTCACTCAGAGAAAATTTTATCCAACAGATGGATATAGTCCCATGTGGCCAGTGGCAGTGCATATTCCATATACCTATTCTCAAATGTAAGTGGCAATGGGAAGTCCTGTGAGTATCATTAAGGCGTGGATTTTGATTCAGTGGTTTTGGATGTAGCTTGACATTCTTCATTTCTACCAAGGTCTCGGGTGATGGCAGATACCCTGGCTGGTGGCCATGGAATACCAAAGCCATAGTTTACTTTGGACAGCACAGAATATACGGCATGCCTGATAACAAACATGTGAACATCAAGGTATAAACTCATGCAAAACCAAAGAATATCATTTTTTGAGAAATATCATTATTTCATTTTGAGAAATACCTCCTTTCTCACTTACCTTGCTGAGCAGAATTTCATCGTTTCCAGTCCTGAGATTCAACACAAATGTGCAATAAAAGCATGATTTTTAGTTTATTCTTCATGGCAACTCCTGGAAGATGCAAAGGAAGGAAAAAGAAATGATGACCTAATTCCCAATGAGAAGAAGGGTCACATCTTCCAACTGTTTTTTTTTTTTTTTTACAAGTAAAGACACATTTTCTTTTAACCTGGATCTATTTTCTTTCTTGTAACACAGGAAGACAGTTATAGATTATATTCATCATGTTTGGCCCAATAACAAAATATGGTATTAACACAATCCCTTCAAGAAACTCTTCGTGCCGGGCCGTGGTGGCGCACGCCTTTAATCCCAGCACTCGGGAGGCAGAGGCAGGCGGATCTCTGTGAGTTCGAGACCAGCCTGGTCTACAAGAGCTAGTTCCAGGACAGGCTCCAAAACCACAGAGAAACCCTGTCTCGAAAAACCAAAAAAAAAAAAAAAAAAAAAAGAAACTCTTCGTGTGCAACTAAATATTCATGTCTTTTCCTTATATAGCTACCTAAAGCTAAATGGTTTAATCAATAAGACCATTGTAAGCGGATATGGCATAGTTTGTAATAATTCTGGAAACATCTGCTGAGCTTCAATGATTATTTATTTTCGCCAAGAGCTAATTCCCTTGAATTGCTTGAGGATAATTGTTTTAAAAAGAGAATGGGAAAATAATACTCGGAATTTAAAACTCTAGCATTCAGGTAAAAATCTTACAAAAGGATATAAAATTTAGTCCTGTGCTGTGTGTGTGTGCGCACGTGTGTGTGTGTGTGTGTGTGTGTGTGTGTGTGCTGTGTACAAATCTAAATGAATGTTTATGGGTGAGGGTAGGTGTTTGCAGGTGTAGAGAGGTCAGCAATGGATATCAGCTGCCTTGATTGATTTCTCTACCTTATATATTGAGGTGGGCTCTGTTGTTTGATCCCAGAGCTCACCACTTCAGGTAATCTACCCAGCCAGTCTGCTCCAGGGATCCCTGTGCAGGGATCCCCTGTCTCTGCTTTCTGAGCACCAGGAATACAAGTAGGTCTTCACACCCACCAGACATGTATGTGGGTTCTGGGACCTGAATTCCAGCTCTCGTGATTGTGTTGCAGGTAGTTACCAACTGAGTTATCTCCCCTCTCTCCTCATCATGGCCTTTTAACTGGCAGTTCATGCTCACGGTCCTAAGAAGGACAGTCACTCAGCAGACTCTGGGACCCGAACCTGGTCCTCTGCCAGTTCATGAGGCAAAGACATTCAAGGAGTTAGGCTAGAGCTACAATGCGAAAGTCATAGACAGAAAGGAAAAGCCAGGGAGTCTATGCAAGGGCATCCAGGAGAAAAATCCTTCGGGAGAAACTATGTCTCCATCTCAACAACTGGTCTCTCTACACATTCTCTGGAGATAAATGCAAAAAAGAAAATAATAATATGGAGACCTGGAGTGATAGAGGTCAATTTTTCTTGCTCAGATGCTACTAGGAACTAATAAGAAAGCAAGTGAGGAACGAAGTAGGAGAATTGATAAGCACACACGCCAACAGACAGCACTGTCAGCAGTTTGAATACAAACTCCAAGGTGAAAAGTTATGGTCCCCTAAGCATTGCATCAATAGTCTCCATGGCCACCACCACCACTCCAACACACTTTCAGGAACATAGAAATCACAAGAAGGCACAAACACAAAACCAAATGATTTTAATCTGTCTTGACCTATTTCATGTGGGAAAGGCCAAATAAGGCCTTTAAAGAAGTCCACATAGCAGAGAATCTCCACAGGCTAGAGTATGGGCATTTTAATCCACTATTAGAAAAGCATAGAAATCAGGTAGGTGTGTAAGTTATGAAAGCAAGCAAGCAAAGGTGAAGGAAACCAAGTGAAACACACCGAAACAACCCGTCTATGCTCGACTGGGTTCTAGGTCTTCTCTCTTGAGTTGAAACGCTAACTGGCTAAGTAAATAAAACTGTATCCCAGTGGGTAGCAAGCTAGACATCGTATAGATAGAAGAGTGAAGCTTATCTTTGGTATGGGACTCTGAGCAGTTGTGCTACAGAAAGGTTGGGCCACCATTCCCATCTCTTTCCTGTGGAGTTATTCTAAGCCTCCATAGGAGAAACAAAAATAGCCTTGAAAAATCAGAGTTCAGAGTTGGATATCTCACAGGAGCTCCAGGGGGGACCACAATGGAGCATGCTATATAAACAATATTGTAATTACAATGATGAACCTATTCTTTATATATATGTGTGTATATATATATAATCTGTCAGTGTATCTAAGAAAAGCATGTATTCTGACAATCCACTAAGTGCTATTCGTCGATGTAGTTTACATATGTTTGGATAAAATCTGTGCTAAACAGAACAGACACAGCAGACAGCCATGTCCCCATCTTCCTCTCCAAGAAACATTTGCAAAACTCTTGAAGGCCTCTGGCTTTTAGGAGACATCAATTCCTTGCTCGGTTGGAATTATTCTGACAGCTTTGACATTACAATATCATCACAAGATCATGGAATACTTAAAATTGAAGACCCTTGAGAATTAAAAGTAAAAATAACAAGTCTCCCGAATGCTTGATCAATATCAAAGTAATTCACATCAAAACTTGACAACTTAGAGTTCAATTAGCCATCACTCTGTGTGCTTTTAAGGGCATGCCTAAAAACAAATGACCAAATAATTCTAAATAACTCTTTTCTCAATATGTCTCTATTTCTGCTTCATACCAGAGCATACATATTACATTTTACATCTTAAAGATTTTTTTAAATGGCATCTGATCCAGAAACTGATTTCTCTGTATAATTTGTTCTGATTTTCTCTGGAACTCAGATTTCCTTATTCTCATAAAAGAAAATGATGTTTTCAATAACTTTTGGTAGAATCTCAAAGTAGGTTCTGCTCCCCCCCCCACAATATGGTCTATTTATAAGTTTTTATGCTATTATATCAACTTACAAAATTGCAAAGACTGATAATTGTCATTTTCTTTGCATTTGACCCTACTCCATCAGATACATACATATTAGTTGATACCTGAATACTCTTAAATCTGATAGTCTTGTCCAGAGTAGTTAATTGTGTTTTTCTAGGAAGCTCACCATGGCACAAAGAGGTTTTAAAAAAAGAATGTTTTTTTTTCTGAGTTTTAAATAACAATCTTTGTTTGTTTGTTTGTTTGCATAATTATGGGCTTACTTTAGAACTCCTAGCTAGAATCGGGAGTTTGGAAGGAAGAAAGATGAAACAGATGCAATACACAGCTAAGATCAAAGAGCTGCATCAATTCATTCCCAGAGTCAAAATCCAGCTGAGCCTCAGAGCTCCGCCGGCATAATAAGAAAGGTTGAGTGAAACATAGGGATTAAACAGGTGGGCTGTGTCCTGCAGAGGCAAGGGAGGGGAGCCCCACAGAGACACTTGTAAAGACACTTTGGAAGCTCACACCTGCTCCTTCCCAAGCACGCTACAGGACACTAAGGCAGCAAAAGACACCCTAACTTTAAAGAAAGGAGACTGCGGCCAGCATATGGGCTTTCTTCTTCCAGATAATTTCTTTCCCAGTAAATGACAAATTAATAAATTGCTTCCATTCCTCCAAGGTGACTTATCCAGTGCTCAACTTTAAAAATAAGGGAGGAACTAGATGATGTAATGTTTCCGGGGCCTGGAAATCTCATTGGGGGATGCCTCCCTCATGGGCTTTGTCTTCCTCAAATGAACAGAGTTTTCTTTCTTAAGTCAGCCTTACAAACACTGGTCAATATAATTTAATTTTGCAGTCTCAGTATTATTTTCAGTCACATGAACAACCTCTCAAATGTTTTATAAATCCAATGCCAAATTCTTTTCATGTCAGCACACATCATGTAACTTCGCTCTAGGCACTAAAAATAAAGTTCAGGGATTAAAAATACTTAAAAGAGTCTGTTCCTGTGTCATTTATTGCAATGTCCTTAATACAATGTAAGCTTGTAACTACTGATGAATTATTCTGAACATTAAAACAATCTTCTTTGAAGAAAACTGAGTTAAAGTTAAGCAAGCTAGGTCTTTAGCAAGATAGATTGACAAGGGTATGCCAGTATTGTTTTATAAGATATATTTCAAATCATATCTATAAACACTAACTTTGGTGCATATTAACTTCCTCAAGCACCGAACATTCTGAGATTTAAAGATGCAGTTAATACATTCAAATCAATGTCAAACATTAGCATTTATTGTATTCACCTAAATAAGGAACATCCAATTAGCAGCTAGAGCAATATGACCTCCCTGGTGTGGGGTTAAAGTGCGGGCTTTGGCCTGCTGTTGACCTTATTATATATTTCCTCATTCAACCACATTTGTAGAATGTTGACTGCATAAGAAAATGTGAGGGACAAAGAGAAGAATCATACATGAATCACAGGCAACAAAGAGAAACCCTGAGTGCCACATATATGCAACAAGAGACATCTGTGACAGTAGACCACTGTGGAAAACATACAGAAGTCACATGGAAGAAGAAAGGTTAGGATTTGGATTTGGTAATGAGAGACAGGGAGAGAAGAGAGTCAGCTTTCCTAGGGGGAAGGACCAGACATGGACTGGACTGGACTAGACTGTGAGTGAGTAAGCAGTCCTATTTGACTATGGAGTAGGAAAAAGTGCCCAATAAAAATGACCACAGAATTCAGTATAAGAAGTCTTCAACACTCTATAAGAAAATTAAATTTCTTTCCCAGTTTTTCTCAAAACTCAGACTTGAGAATCACCTGCCAGGCATTCTGCTCAAACTTGCAAGTGAGGAGACCCATTTCAGATCGTGAGATTTGAACACATCTACAGGACACATTATTTTAATTTCTGTGACGTAGCAGGAAACCCTAAGAGCATTTTGGAAGATGAAAAATAAAGGAGAGATGACAGAGACACTGGGCAAGACGTTTAAACCTCCTTATTTTTACTCAGTAACAACAACTATTTTTTTTGTCAACAGTACACATCAATCATTTCACTTTTCTTAAAAGCATAATCCAAAATCTCATCAGGTTATCCCATGTTTGAACGGTTCCG